AAATTTGAGTTAATTATTTTTCCTTTATCTCCTGCACCTTATATGCATTTTGGTGGGCTTGGAGCATAGTAAAATAAAGAGTCCTTACATTAAACAGAAGAGAAAAAGGAAAGAATTAAGAAAGAGTGGGAGGGAGAAAAAAAGGAGGGAGAAAGATGGGAAAGGAATAGAGAAAGGCATCCAGGCCAGACAAAAGAGACTTCTTGTAGGAATCAGTCGTAGCTCTGTTACAATACGAGACATTCTGATTTGTGGTTTGATGGGCTAGCTCTGTGAACTTTATCTTTACAAAGGGAAAAAAGCCTGTTTGCATAAGCAAAAGCATCACATTTCAATTATATTCCCTTTGGAGATTCAAAAGTTCTCAAGTTCTCCCTCCTCCAAATACAAACATAAACTCAGTCAGGTTTCTCATCAGCGCAGGAGAAGTTAAAGAACACGTGACTCTGGTAGACAAAACAAGAAGATATACAGACTCATTGGAAATGTCTAGATTTTGAAAAATACCTGATGTGGGGAAAAATTAAAAGAGACAGGAATGGAAAATTCCTTTGCTGGCTTCCTGTTCTCCTTCCTGCTAAGGTGGGATTAGTTACCAGCTGTCAAAAGAAATATCACTTTTAATTCTTATTTTAGGGGGAAGAAAAGCATTAGAAAAAGCTATCTTGGAAGTGAATAAGGCAATAAGGATATTCAGTTTTTATAATTCATTCCTGAGGTTTGAAAGAGCACAAGTTGGGAAGAAAAGGATTATACCTCATATGAAAAGGGAAGAAAAACTAAGGAAGTGATAAAGGCAGATTAATCTCCTTCAAATATCTCCTAATAAAATAATCAATGTAGTAATGAAGCCAGTTAGGAGTCTGGGGTTTGAAGTATCCAAGTAATTATTCGAAATCTCTCTTTGGATCGAAAAAGACAGAATTAATAAGAGCAAACTAGTCTTTAAAACAAGGGCATATTTTGAAATGAAATCAATTATCTTTGATGCAATTCCTATTTCCATGGAAAGCATTTTTTTTTTCTTTGAGAAGGATAATTTTCAATTTATAAGTACTTCTTGCAGAAGAATAGAATTTACCTAATGCTTGGGGATGCCCTTCAAATGTTGGGTCACATCTGGTGGATACATGATAGTTAGTAAACCTCTCTCAAGTCATGGTTTCAAGAAATCCCCATAACATAGTGTAGATCAGATCAGCCAGCATGGCTGTGATTGGAGAGTACTAAAAAGCCAGTACACATGCTCTAAAAGACCTGCTTGGCTCAAATCTCCTGGATATTGGGAATTTGATGGTTAGCAATGCATTCTTTTGCATTCAGACAAGAACTCCTTGACTAAGGTTAAAAAGCAAGATTCAAAATTGTAAATCTGACTGAATCTCAAGTTTATCTTAAGACCATAGAGAAAATGGCTGGAAATAATTTGACTAAAGAAAATTGAGACTTGTGATTATTTTTTTTTGTCCTCTTTGTGCTCTTATTTATAGTATCTACAATAAACCTATATAACTTTAACATCCAGGAAAGTTTTTTAAGGTATTCTTTCCATTTTCTCCTCTCTGGGAGAGAGAATGCAGCTTTTCACCTATTAGCATGATTCAATGTGTCAGATTCTTTCAAAATGATACAACCAATTTCATCCATTTTATTTAAATAATTGTTGAAGTACAGTGAATCATCTTAGGAAAATGCTGAACAGGAATTTTCATTTCAATCTTATGAAAATTGCTCCTTGAGGAAGAATATTCAATTGGTTCTTCTCCCCCTTTTCCTTCTGCCTCTGATACCATATATTCTGGAGGGTTTGAAATACAATAAAACACACAGAGCTCTTCAAGCGATCGAAACACTTCAAATGAACATTTTGACAGCTGGGATTATGAAGCAAGAGAACAACTTGGGCCCAACCTAGTAATGCTGCAGTATCTGGGCAGCAAAAGGGTCTTGGAACTCGAGAGAGACAGATGATGGACAGTGATAGGGATGCTCATTAAGATAGTAAACTGAAGAAAAGGGTGAAGAAACCTTTAAAAGACAAACACGTTTATTTTCCAAACATGCTTGTTTCCTTAATTCCTAAAAGCATTCATCCCTTAGTATTAGTACTGAATTCTAGCTTTCTGTTAGTCTCTTGGTTGGACTCAAAGATGAATGAGGGAGTCAGGCATGATGACACATGCCTATAGTGCCATCTACTCGAGGCTGGGGTGGATGGATTGCCTGAGTCCAGGAGTTCGAGACCAGCTTAGGCAATGTAGGAAAACCCCATCTCAAAACACACAAAAATTAAAAATTAAAAAAATAGAAAAGATTAATAAGATTCAGTAAGTCCCTACCCACTAATATTTAGAATTTAGTAAAGGAAATAAGGCATGCAACTAAAAGATAAAATATCTAGACTGAAAAACATAGTGCCTTTAAAGAATATTATTCTTCATTATTATTATTTTTGAAATAAACTATTTATTGATATTTATGTTAGACAAGGAAAGAGTTGGTAAAAGGAATATTGAAGGAAAGATAGGATTTTAAGTCATAGAAATGCAGTTGACTTGGACTTAACTGGAAAATCATTAATCAGGAAAGAGGAACATTACTTTTGGAGAATAGTGAATTTTATGGTTTAGCCAGATTTTTATTTTTTATTCTGTAAAGGGCCAGATACAAAATATTTTAGGCTTTGAGGACCACAGTCTCTGCTGAGGTCTTGAAGGTCACTGAATTCTTTGTGTAATATGAAGCCTTCATTGACAATAAGCAAAAAAGATGGATAGGCCTGTATACTAACACAGGTGATTTACAGACACAGAAATGTGAATTCATGTAATTTTCATGTCACAAATATTCTTCTTCTTTTAATTCCCCCCTCCACTATTTATAATTGTAAAAACCATTCTTAGCTTGAAGTCCTTACAAAAACTGGAAGCAGGCCAGTCTTCCAACGCCAGAGCTAGAGTGTTCTCTATAATAAATAACCCCTTTGTACAATGTAACTTCCTCTTAGGCCTGTACTAAAATCACTAAACAGCAATACATTACAGATTATTGAAAAAAGACAATTAGTTATCACTTAGAGCTTTGACATTCAAGTAATAAATTCTTATCTTGTAATTTGACAAATCTTAAGCATGACACTTCGATTTGCCTCAATTTATCTTTCTGTTTTGGGGAGGATTAAAGTTCACAAGAGCTGAACTTCAGTGAGGTTAATTTTCAGCTAAGGTGGACTGAGGAGGCATAGACATGTAACAGAAAAGCCAATCCAGATATCGTTTTTATTTATTTGGCTTTAGAAAGTGTTTTTCTACTTACATGTGAGTATGGGTGTGTCTCATGTTCTGGGAATTTACTTCAAACAAAGAAACGAAGCCATGCAATGACGATCTGACTCAGTGGGAGCTGGGAATCCGTCCAGTTTCCCCATCTTGCCTCCCGTCTTGCTCTTCTCCATGGCCTGTTTTTATGCTATGTTTAAATGCCTCATCTTCTCCGATCAATCCAAACACTCACCCATACAAAGTCACCTTTCCTGAAATTGCCTTTGCAGAGCAGAGGGAGTCCTGTCAACTTTTGTGTTTTTAAAAAAGTTCTTTGAGGTGGAACACTAACAAAAGAGTGTTTTGCTTTCAAACAAGCCAGTAATCAAGCAGCGTTGTGATAATATTGAACAATCAAATCAGACATATCATGGATAAACCACAATGAGAGTTGCTACGATTGTTATGGAAATTGAGGCATTTATCTAGTCTTCAATTTTATTGTGTTTTTTAACAGAAAAGGCAACCTCTGTATCCATTGCTTCCCTGACATCTATGGATGAATGAAAAGATAGGTCCCTTGGAGAGTTCAAGCTCTTCTGCAGATATTGTGTTACAGGTTGCAAAATGGTTGCTCCTTTCAGAATGTGAATACCTTAGTGACAGCTGACAGTTGGAACATGAATTATCTATCTGTGGTAGATGTTGTCATTATCATTATCCCCATTTTACAGATGAGGAAATGGAGTTACAGAAAGGTGAAGCAGCTTCTCAGTGTCACACAGCTAGTAAGTGGCAGTGCCAACAGAGAAGTCCACTTCCTCAAGTGTTCATGCTTTTAACCATGGAAACATAACTCTAACAGCTCTCAGTCAGGACCTAGAAAAGTCCTCTTAAATTTGCAGTGTTAACCAAGCTTGATGTGGTTCCCTAGATCCCCTGGCTGCCAACACTCTGTGGAATAAAGGAAAAACTAATTCCTTGTTAGTATAACACTTCTGTTGAGCATTGCTGGACACAACTCTGCCAGGTTCTGAAGAGCTTAGGGTTGCTATTTCTTTAGTTCCCCATGGCTACCTTTCACATTTTCTGGATCTTTTTTTTTTTTTTTTTTTCATTCTAGCATTATAAATAGACCTCTTCCCTTCACTTACTTTTCTACCTCCTGGTGAGCATTGACTGCATGACCACCTCACCATTTTATTTAACCCATTAGGACTATTGCCAGGCAAAACCTATACCACAGCCTGCATTGTATTCACCATTTCAGTCTGGAGCTCTGATTCCTGGGGTTGAGGAATGGAAGATTCTCCAACCTCAATCTCTGTCATCCATGTTGATTAGTCAAAGGTTTAATCAGCTGTGAACTCTAGTTCTTTGCAACTAGATAAATAACCATTAAAGACTTGGTAAATAAAGAATGAATGGATGCTTGGCTGTCCGTCATTCATCTGTCTCGGTTTTCATCAGCGTGCAATCCCAATCCTCAGCTGCTAAGATGTAGACAAAGAGTTCTGATGAAAAGGATTTATTAGTACTGTTTCAACAGAGTCTGAAAAGTAGCACAAGCATTTCCACAGGTCGTTTCTCCACAGTCCTGTTTGTAAATATTTGAGTCACTTACTGGCATTATTGAGCATATTTCTGGCCTAGCAAATCTTCCTCCTTTGTATCCCTAATCAAGTAAAAACTTAGTCAGGGTATACTTGGGTGACCTTCACACTGTACCTCCTCCAGAGGTGGTGAGGTAATCGCTGCCACAGCTGACTGGCTATGGCTTCCTTGATAAGATGCCAGGAGCTACCTATGTAGATTCCCAGGGAGGAACTGTAGGAACAAACCAGTGTCAATGGTTAACCCAGGTTCTTGGTGTCTGGAGCTTTTATTTCCTTTATTATTAACTAAAGATCATTCTTGCCATTCCCAGCTGAGAGCACCCAGCTCATAGATTCTCTGTGGGGAGAGCGAATAAAGGTAAGTGCTATTATTGCTATGGATACAAGGTCATTCAGTCTATGTTTTGCTCTTGCTGGCATCTGTGTTTGGGGAGCAGCACCTCTATTTCCAGCAAATGTAAATATTAAAGATCAGTTAAATGCAATTAAGAGAATTTAATTTTTTTTTGTTCAAGTGCTTTAAGTAGGAATCAAACAGTGTGTCATATTCCTTAAGTTCATTTGAAGCTTTGGTCAAAAGTAGTCTTGTGTTGGTGTTTACAGGGTCTGTTAAATAGCCCTTGCCTGCTATTATATTTGTAAATGCCTAAAAGTGACTTTACTATATTCACACCATATGGAATATTCTATAATATCTTTCAGAACCAGAGTATTGCATCCTGTATGCACTTACGAATATATAACTGAAAATATGGAAAAATATTTATTTTATACCCTGTCCCTTAAAAAGCTCAGGGAAAATATAGGTTATTTTTTTTTAGAGTTGTATATAATCATTGAAAGGAAATGAAAGAGCTGTTTTTCTAGATTTATTTTGACATCAATTAGAAGTGAAGAATTTTATCCGTTTGTTTTCACCTTAATCCCTCTAAGCTTTTTTTCTTATCAATTAAAATCTTGAAGCTTTTTTTTGAGTATTTATTCAGAAAAGTGTGAGCTTATAAAACTTTGCTGTCTGGTTGCCATGCATTCTCTAACATATATAATTGAATGGTTTTCCTTGTTGGTATATTTAGGTAAAAAAATAACTTTTCTATAAGCCAGATGAATTTTATCATGTGTATTATATGGACTGAACAGTCTTTAGAAAAAGAGTACTGGAGTATCTCTGCTAAATGTTACTCTTATATCTAGTGAGAGCTGGATCCTTAAGAAGAAAAAATTTTTTGAATGTGACTTTGTTACTTTGGTATGGAAAATGGAGATCAGCCACTCTTTATGTCAGATTGTAACCAATAAAAGAACATGAAGTACCCAAACCACAGCTGTTTTGCAGAGTACATTTAAGGAATTCCTGAAATTCAGCCAAATTGAATTTAAAAGTGAACAAGGTCCAGAGTTCAATTCAAATCAAAAGAGAGAGAGAAAGAGAGAGAGAGAAAGGGAGAGAGAGAGCTTGAGTAGCTAAGAGATGTAATCCTGCTTAAGCTTATTTTTAGGACATGATAATTGGGATAAATCTAAGATTATAACTCTCATGCATAAAAAGACCATGACAGCATTTGAAACTGGAAGGAAAGACTGCAGTGGGAAGGGGATTTAATATTCTATTTTAATGCATTTTTCTAACCAAGAATTTCAATTTGGAAGAGAACACGGCCTTCAAGGGGATTGAAAAATACATGTTTCTTCTGTTATATAGGCTAGTGGTGAGTACAAGTTAAGACCTGAATCTAAATTAATTGAAAATTAGAAATGGAAAAAAATATAATTTGTGGCAAAATATGTAAAGGGCATGAAAAGTAAATATTTGGACCAAAACAATCCAGTTATTTTCTTTGTTAAATTTGTAAAACCCACCGCTTGTCCTTACACAAGAACTTGAGTTTGAGCAGAAGAGGCTCATTGGAAGCCATCTTCAAAGTTACCTCCCACCAATTTCATTTATAAATGGAACTGTCAAAGAAGCCTTCACTAAGGGGGTGATATTTGACCAAACACTTGGAGGTGGTGAGGAAGTGAGCAATGTAGGATTCTTGGAGAAAAACAGTTCAGGCAGATGGAACAGTCCTAAGGCTGAGGTGTGCCTGGTTAGTTCATGAAACAGCGAAGAGGCCAGGGTGGCTAAAGCAAAATTGCAGAAGTGGGAGTAGCAAGCAAGACATGAAGTCACATAGATGTGCCATATTTTTTTCCAAGACAGATATGATTCTGCAAGCTACAAGTGTTGGAGATTTTTGAATGTTAGAAAAGACCAATGGAAGTGTAAATTTAGACAGATGGAAAGACAGTGAGGAGTATAGTGGATGTCAGGCTGATGATACAAGTTAACAAAATATAAACGGGAGAATGAGCAGAATTAGAAAAAGCATAGGAGTAAATGAAGATAGGCTCCTCTAGTGTAGCCAATGGAGCAAATAAAAAGGTTTCTGAGGCCGGGTGCAGGGTTCATGCCTGTAATCCCAGCACTTTGGGAGGCTGAGGCAGGTGGATCACCTGAAGTCAGGAGATCAAGACCATCAAGACCAGCCTGACCAATATGGTGAAACCCCATCTCTACTAAAAATACAGTA